TCTCCCTCCTTTTGTTTCCCCTATTCTTCCTCCTCCTTTTTTCTCTCCCTCTCTTCCTCCTCCCTTAACTACTCCTCCTCTTTCATCCCTTTCTCCTCTTCATGTACTTCTGTTTTCCCCTCCTCCTTCTCCTCCTCTTTCCCCTCCTCCTCGCCCTCTTTCCCCACTGCTTCCTCTTCCTTCTCTCTCCCTCCCTCTCCTCCTCCTCTTTCCCCTCCTGCTTCTTCACTTTCCCCTCCCCTTCCTCTTCCTCTTTCCCCTCCCCTTCTTCCTCCTTCTCTTTCCCCTTTTCCTCCACCTCCTCTTTCCCCTCTTGCTTCTTCACTTTCCCCTCCCCTTCTTTCTCCTGCTCTTTCCCCTCCCCTTCTTCCTCCTTCTCTTTCCCCTCCCCTTCTTTCTCTTTCTCTTTCTCCTCCCCTTCTTCCTCCTTCTCTTTCCCCTCTTCCTCCACCTCCTCCTCTGTCCCTTTTTCTTCATTTCCTCTTCTTCCATTTTCTCTTCCCCTTCTCACCTTTAGCTCAACCTTCCGAAACACCAAACCAGCTCATTTGCTCAGTCCTTCCTTGCACATTGCAGGTTCTTACGAGGTGGCTCTTACGACGAGCGTGTGGACATCAACGACGTCCCCGTGACTGCCTATGGTATGGACAATGCAGCTCGAGGCTACCAGTTCTGGCTCAAAACAGAGGGCGTTAACCTGAAGAGTCTGTTTGAGACTTACATCGTCGAGGAGGACACCAAGCTCGATGAAGCCACGGAGCCCTATGGTGAACTGGAGAAGAAGAAAGAGAAAGCGGGCGAGGTAGACGACTATGTCAAAGTACTGAAGGCGAAGATCAAAGTCCCATTGGATGATAAGTATAAGTTATTCAAAGATTTCCTAGAAGAGGAGGCCAAGAAAATGAAATAGCGCTAGTTTTTGTATTTTAGTTCTTATTTTTTTTTTTTTTTTTTTTTTTTTTTTTTACGTGGGTATGCCTTGCTGTTTTGATATGATTTTATAGAAATGAATGCTTTTATTTTCCTTGCTGTGCTGGCTACGTTGAAACAAGTATGAGTGTTCAGTCCAGCATGTCTAGTGATTCTCTGAAAAGGATGTTTGGATTTTTATTATCACCAAGCCCGGACCATCAAGTTCTTGGCTTGGATGGATGGCTGAACTAATATGAACAAAATAATTTTAAGGTAAACATAGGATATCCATTACTGTTGTGGAGGCAGTGCAATGTCAACTCGAAGAAGAGGAAGAACGATACATTCCTGTTATGGCAGTTGTTATGAGTGATGTTTGTCTCGCACAGCAGATACAGTGAGCCATTCCTTACACATTCCTGTTGATTCCTGGTTGTCTTTTAACAACTTTATTTTCTCAGATATTGTACTTAGCCTGTCAAGAATGGATATGTCACAAAATTTATTCTCTTAGGAGGTTTGTATTGCTATACAAACATATTTACCAACTATAAATGGTGAGGGAGGCAATGTCTTCAATGTTGTGAGGAATTATAACTTTTTAAACCAGTTGTTATACATGAGAGGTATACATTGATATATAATTAACAGAATACTTATGCCTGCCTCCAAAAGGTAAAAATCCTTTTTATTATACTTGTCACATATTGTGACACATTCAGATTATTGAAATTTTAAAATCTCTGGTACATGTTCCACATTTTGGGATGATTAATTTTGCGTTTTTTTTTTTTTTTTTTTTTTTTTTTTTTTTTTAAGTGCTGTAGAAAGTTTTGTATTAGTTGGTGTCTCAAATATATCTAGAAGTTAACACATAAATTAATAGGTTCATACTTTTGTTGTTTCTGTGTAAGGTCACATTTAAAAAGTCTTTGTTCTGTATGTATAGTATATCTTTAAAAAAATATTTTACTGTTAAAACTCATGGCAATAGTTTAAATATTGTACATGAAGTTGATATTTTTTTTAAATATTTTGTTATACTGTACATTATACAAAGATATTTAGATTTCTTTTTAGGGCATATTGGGAATATTGTGATAAACAATACCATTCTCAAGACAGTGGAACACAGATTAAGTGCAATTGAAAGTACCATAAGTAGAAAATATAAGTGGGAAATATTCTTGCCAGCTAAAATAGCTTTGTTTTATAGTATATAAGGACTGTCCTGGTACTTAAGAGAGGAAGAGATTCTTTTCTCTTCTTTTTTTTTTTGGATAAAAATGTCCTTGCCTATGAAAAATATGTTTTAAAATTTGCAAATTATTTTTTTTGTATATGGTTTTGTTTCGTTTTTCTCTACGTTATTTTGTTTAGATATTTTTTTGTTACGTTATTTTACCATTGTATTTTTTTTATTTTTTTTTTTTTACTTGTTACAGATTTAAGGATTCCATTATTTGTTGATTGTTATGCCAGCATTATTATTTATGAAGAAAATGTATGGTGCTAATGTAGATAACAGAGAAATGTTTTCTTTTGTACTTTATGAGCTGTTTCTGAATAGACCACCGTGATTTTTTAATGGTACTTTAATTTCCCATTAGTATTTTAGCAACATTTGATAACTGTCATTGGAAACTAACTGATGGTAAGTAAATAGGTTAATAGATGAAATTCAAATACCACAAACCATTCTGGATGGTACTGGCAACAATTGCAAGTTTGGTATTATCTCATAGCAATGTTGTTGTTTTTTTTTAATAGTTGGTGATTTGGGATAAAAATGCAGAGTTCAATTGTTACTAGCTGTCTGGATTATTTAAATATATTTTTGATTTTGAAACTGTTTGGTTATTGGGGTATGCAATAATTACTTAAATACATGATCAAAATATAATTTTACCTCTATTTTATCATTGGCTAAAAGGAGATGGAAAGGTGTTTCATATATATATTTATATTAAATAATCATTAAGTCTTGTATTCATATTTTGGCAATGCATCTCTTCTTATTGCAGGAATATGAATAATGTAATTACTTTTATAACAATAGATCATAAAATGTGCTCTTAATGTGCCTCCTCCTTCCCAAATAAAACAAAAAATAAGAGGGCTCAGTACGACATATTTGCTGATCTGCAAGAGGTTTTTTATCCGATACCGAGAAGGATAGTAGAATAGGTATTAAGGAAGCAGGCAATGTCAGATGCTATTTACTATAATGAGGTCCTTATATAATGGGACAAGTTAGAATAGTGGTAGGGATATTCACACATAGGAGTGGTAGTGTATTAGCATTGGGCACTTGGACCATACTGTTTATTACAGTAATGGGAGAGGTTATAAAGGTGTATAGAGGAGGAGGTTTATAGGAGGTGTATGCTGATGAATTTAGTGCTTACAAAGGAAACTGAGGGACAGGTGGTGAGCAATGGAGATTCAGGGATAAATGATTAATGTGAAAGAGCAAGGGAAAGATGTAGAAATATTGTGACTTGGAAAAAGATGAGAGAAAATATACAAGCAGGAGTTTAATTTAATGGTGAAGAGTGCGATGAAACAAAATAATCACAGGAGATGCTTATTGCTATGTATGATTAAAGGAGTGGCAAATTTTAGGTGTCTAGTGCATGTCAGTGTAGTAGAGGAAGGGAAGGAGGAAGGAGACATTGCAAAAGATGTGGAGTTTTCTGTTACCTGGTTGTTGTTGTTGTTGTTGTTGGGGGGGCCTTAGGAAACGGAATTTAAGACCTGATGTAGGGGATCAGCCCTCCAATGAATCTTAGCCCTCGCCTCGACAAAATTTGCATGTTTTTTTCTTCTCTCCTGTTCCTTTTCCTTCTCTTCTTCGTCCCCTTCTTCTGTCCAGTTACCCTAATTGCTAGCTCATCTTGCACCACAATAATTATTCATAATTGTATATGACCTTTGATGTCTAGCACATTTATTTGTTTTAACCATTAACCATTTCTGTTACCTGGGAGATGTATTGGGCAGCAAAGTAGCAATTGAGAAAGCAATCAGAACACAAGTTGCACAAACATGAAATGAAATGGAGGGAAGTAATAAGCATATCCTATATTTAATGTGGAGAGAAAAAGTAAATTCTCTTTTATGTGTTAGTTCTGCCACATGGCTTGAAAACATGAATCAAAGAAAGGGAATGCAGGAGATAAACTAAAATTGGAAGATTATCTTTATCTTTATGTGTGGCTCAGGTGTAGGAATCTGCCAGTTTAATCCCTTGGTGATACTGAAGGACCAAGGCATTCCCAGGAGGCTGGAGGAGAAGGAACTAGTGGGACTGTGGCCCATCAACCATCATCAACCATCCAACACCAAGACTGGGAAGAAGAGGATGATAAACCAAAATTTATATACATAGACACACACACACACACACACACACACACACACACACACACACACACACACACACACACACACACACACACACACACACACACACACACACACATATATATATATATATATATATATATATATATATATATATATATATATATATATATAAAATATATATACATATATACATATATATATGTAAATATTTAGAGTAAAAAGAGAGATTTGGCAAATCAGAGAATGTAGGTCTTCTAGAAGGTGGCTACTTGACAGCATGCTTTTTTTATTATAGAGATATCCCAAGAAAGGATATTTGTCTCCTCACTTCCTGTTGTTATCATTATCTTTGTCCTTATTATCATTATCAGTATTATTATCATTTTTGATATTAGTAATAGTATCACTAGAAACAGTTGTAGCAATGATAGTAAGTTATTACTTTGATCGTTATCGTTATTTATTATGATTATCATTATTAATACTGTTATATAGTCTATATTCATTATCTCATTACTGTGGTAATGATCTTATTTTATTTTAATTACTTTGATTTTGTTTTTCTTCTTGTATTATCATTATCATTCCTATTCATCTCTCTGTTTTCCTCTGTTCTTATTAATATATTCTTATTGCTTTTCTCATTCTTACTTTCCTTTAAATATTATTATCTCTTTCTCACTATCTATCATTCTCTTATCTTTATTCTTTCATCTTCA